AAAACTACTTTCCCTCTGTTGCTGTCATGTTTCAACGTGGACAAGGCCAGGAAAGAGACTTGGACGACTCAAACAGGTGATGTGTTAGATTAAGCAGGATTAGGGTCGTCACTTATACCTTCTAAACACTCCCTTATTATTGTAATAAGGCAACTTATGCAATAAATAGAAATCAAGACCAAAAAGGCGGGCGCATTTCCAAACACAGTTTCTTTTCCTTAGAAACAGGTACATTACTAAGACGACTTTAATGTGAAACAGACAAGATTAGACCCACAAAAGGGAGTTGAGACAGGGATAGGAGGCAGGAGAGAGAAGAAAACCAGCCCCGGGGAAAGTGTGTTATGAAATGAGGGTAGAGTTACTTGTGGCAGCTCAGCCAGGCGGGAGAGAGAAGGGGAGGAAAAAGGAGCTTGAGGTGGAGTTATATAAAACGTGAAAATGAGAGGAGAGGGAACTGGGCCCATTTCTCTGGGTGGAAGAACAAAATTGGAAGGGAACAAAATGAGGGGAAGAAATAGGGTGCGGCAGCCGAGTGGAATGGGGGCATGGAGGTCCATGTACGGCCCACTCTTCCGCCACATGATGTTTGTGACTTGGGTGTTGCTTGAATTGAAGATGCCTATACTCTTAGGTCAACAAGTTCTGCAATGTGCTTTACAAGGAGTCACCTAAGCAGTTTGGGGAATTCCTGAAAACTCAGTTCCTCATGACATAGTACTAATCTGGTTCTCACATGCACTGAAATAAGGGCGAGAGAGAGTTTCCAATTCCTGGGAGTTTCCAGTCTCAAAAAGTAACCCTCGAAGCGAACAAAAGAGGACATCATGAGATAGTGGGGGAAATTTGAATATGGGCTGTCTATTCGATAATATTTTGTCAATGTTAATTTTCCCAAATGTGATTAATAATGGGGCTCCGTTATGTAGGAGAACATCCCTGTTCTTAGGAGACCCGGGCTGAAGTATTTAGGGGGAACTATTTGGATGTCTGCAAATTCTCGAAGGTTCAACACAAAAATCATTGCATGAATGATGTCGTATGTTACATACAATGTATCAAATTATGTATATGTTACATGTATATAAATAGTGTATAATTAGAGAGAGCATACATTCACAAACGTGGCAAAATGTTAGCAACTGGTGAGGGTTGCCTGGATCATTTCTCTGAATTTTTCAGTTGAAATTTTCCAAAATAAAAAATTGGGGGGGGGCGGGGGGGGGGAGGAAGTAGTTCTAGCCCTCAGAGGAGCTGGGAAACCTCCTCAGTCAAACCTCAGTGCTGCCAGTGGTGCGCCCAGAATAGCATATCTCCTCTCTCCCCGCAGTCCCTTCCCTCCCCTTTCCTCTCTGCCCCAGCTCCTGTCCTCTGAGACAAGGGAAAGAGTTAGCTAGCTAACTAGATTAGCATTTAAAAACAACACACCCAGGGGAGAGAAAAGAACAGAGTGCAGAAGACTCAGGTGCCAGGCCTGGCTGTGTCCTCAGGGGCTGTGGGTGACCGTGAGCAAGCCATGGAGGACTTGGAGCAGATCCCTGCCAAGACTCTTTCAGCCCTGCCCTTCCCTAATTCTAGGGAACCCCTTCATTAGAGGAAAAGATTCAGTGCGTGCTATTTTCATTCAGCAGCTCTGTAACAAAGGAAATAGAATGTTCTTTTTTCCTTTACTATGCCCAGAAAGACCACATCAAAAACACAAGACAGCAAAGGCCCACCAACTTGCTCCTTCCCACTGAGCCTACCTCCCAGCTCCCCCCAGCTCTGATTCTCAGAGTACAGCTGGCTCTCTCAGATCTTCCACTTGGCCTAATTCTCAGCTCAAATAAAGAATTGGACCTCGGGATCCCAGGAGACCTTCCCCATGCCATCTGCCACTTGTCAGGGTCCGGGGACCCTGGCCACTGAGCTGGCCCTGGGACATCTCTCTCCATGTCTCCACGTCACTGAGGTTCATATCTTGCTCTGCAGTCCAGGGGTTTCTGAGTTAATGGAGGGTTACTTGGTCCTGGCTTTTAAAAAGCCTATGATTTCAATACCCTTGGTCCAGGGTTGGAATGGCAGTGAAGGAGCTGCTGTTAGATTCCAAGGGAGCAAAAGGAAAGAGGAAAATAAGGCAGTCACACTCGCCTTATCTCGACTCATTCTGCCACCATTAGACGCAGGGCTGGAAACACACACACACACACACACACACACACACACACACACTTGCTTTAAAAACATGTTGACTTTCCGAGAATGCGCATTCATCTTCCCAGTCCCCAAGAGCTGACAAAGGTCAGGCTGGAGGGGATGCCCCTCCACTGAGACGTCACTCAGAGACCATTGCTGAATATGGACCCACGTCAGTACCATGAGCTCTGCCTGGAAAGAAGGAGTCTGTGTCACCGATGGTGGGTCTCGTGGCCACCCCAGAAAAGCAGTTCACCCCTCTGCCTGCCCAGGGAAAATCATTTATGCCAGGTTTCTTTTAAAGGCTAGTTTAATCTGCTTTCCACCTGGGTTCATCCTAGAAGGATGAGTTTTATTTCCTTCGCGTGCCATTTTGCCCAGTTAAACCCAGAAACTGACAAGTATTCTTGGTCCAAGGTTGGCAATGCCTGGACCCATAAGAACAGAGTGAGTCAGCATCGCTTGCCTCAGGAATGGAGAAATGGGCACTTTATCAGACCTTTGACTCACACCCTAGCTTGCTCTGTGCACAAACTTCAGCAGAGTGCAGTCAATTGGCAACAGCTCAGTGACTAAGAAGAAAAGCCCACACAGGCCAAATCTGCACTGCCTGCAAGTCGTTTCTACCACACCACACCCTGGGCGTGTCTCACAGGGGATTTGGGGAGTTTGGAACTCCAGCCTGTTGGTTGGATGTGGTTGAGGTGCAGGACTTAATGTCCGTGTGTCAGGGTGTGCAAAGCCTCCTACTTAGGGTGAAACGCAGGAGATCCCCAGAGGACCCTGATTTGGTGGCAACGTTTGGGTAGAAAGTTCCTGCCCACAGGCATTTGGTCCCATCATTTCAAGTTGTGTTTGCTTAAAGAAAACAGATTAGGGTCATAGCACAGAATGAGTCGGAGGGGGCTTAGACATCACGTTACGCAGGAACCTCGCTTCCCTCTCGCTTAGAGCTGAGGACCATGAGGCCCAGGGGAGCTGATCTGTGACCCGGAATAACTAAGGTCCAAGGTACTTTCTTAAATGGAGAGAAAAATGACTGCATAATTTTCCCTTTGGCCATCCAGGCTTCTTTATTTAAAAAAGTCAAGTCATGACCATATCCTGTTGATTCATGAAGCCAAATTAAAATTAAACTTCTTCAGGCAGCCCTGACTTTGTCCTCTCAAATTATGCCATTTGACGGGTAACGAAGGAGAAGAAACTGCCACTTACTGGCTCAATTTCTAGAATTACCTGTGCTTCTCTTCGGAGGGGTTATCCATGGTGTTTTTGCAAGCCTGCTACCTGAGACAACCCTCTCCTATCAAGTACCCCAGTCCACTGTCATCTCACCCATTGGTGAAACTCTTCGATATGCCTCTCTGACTTTCATCAAAATGCTCAGACAACTCTCAAAATACCCCAAAGAGGAATTTCTGAGGTTTTGCTGATTCATGTCAATGTTACTCCATCCCCACCCCCAACCCATCACCCACTTCTAGTATATGTATTTATTAAGCCAGGAGACAGAAAGAAATGGGTTCGAATATCTCTGCTGGTATTACATCTCTGAAAGGTCCTACCTAGATGGATTGCCAGCGTGTTGAGGGGATTTTTGATGAATTGTGAAGCAGTCTCAATCTGCTGTTATTTAGCCTCAGTGAAGAAAAGAAAAACCCATGCTCCGAAGAGCTTGCTCAGTTTGCACCAGCCCCATAAGAACCTGCCTCTCACCCATGCTGGAAGCACCCACCCTCACCCCTGTCTGTGGTAGGAAAACTCGAACGTTTAGGATCAGCGGCTCCACACAAAAGCAAGTAGGAGGACAAAGACTCAAAGCTGTGTGTTTCCCTCCACTCCTAGAAACCCATAGTGCCCCTCTGTCTCATAAAACACAAATCCCAGTGTTGCTTTCTTAGACATTTTTCCTATGTAACAGAAGGCGAAACACATTAAATATTTGATCTCGTCTTACTATGATGAGAGCTAGCAGGCTCATAAATAACCCATTGACCTGGTTTTTTTTTAGTTTTTTTTCTGGACAAAATTGATCATAAAAACACACTCAAGTCTTTGTTACATCTGGCTCAGAAATTCTACCCCTCTCAAACTCTTTAGAACCCCAACTGAAAGCGAAAAGCATTCCTCCTAGGACCAAGTGCAAAAGGAAATGTGCTCCTTCGTGTAGCTTAGCTCCAGAGAGCTTTTTCAAAAACAAGTTTGTGCACCTTTTTTTCAAGCAACTGATGGTCACATACTTCCACCGTATAAGAGAGCTGGCTGGAGTTTGGGTTTCACATAAATTCTGAATGGCCCGTGAGATGTCTGAGCGCGCAGCGGCTCTGCCAGTGAAAGCAACCCAAGCGCACCGAGACTCGTCCCACTTAAGTGTCATTCAGAGATTTCTCTAGATAGTTGGGCATTTATGTCAACCAGAACTTCTCCCTGCAGAAAATGCCTTTGCATAAAGCCACCAGCCCGCGATGGCAGTAAGTCAAGAGCAAACATAAGCTATGGGGTGAAAAAACTAAAGCAACTTTTCCCAAAGCACAGGACAGCACTTTGCTTAAGACCATCTTGACAGGGTCTGGTACTCAGGACAGCACAAAGCCCGTGCATGCAACAGACAAAGGGGCCCTACAGAGCCCGCGAGTCCACTCCACCGTCACCTCTCCCTCCGGCCCGACTGCGGTCCACACCCGTTCTTCCCGAGAGGGCAGCCGCAGCCGCCAGGAGCCCACCGCACAGGCGCACACACGCCCTCGCCCGTGCCTGGTGAGGCAGAGAGAGACGAAGTTCTGGAAAGAAGTGTGGGCTAGAAACAAGAGTGAAAGCGGACCCACCTGCCGGGAGTCCGTGGGGAGGCTGGTCCCGCGCGCGGCTCTCCGAGGCGGGGCGACCCTCGCGCCTTCGAGGCACCGGGGCGGCCGCTGCCTGTGCGGGAGCTGCGCCCGAGCTGCCGTATTTGTACTCTCGGCCCCTCACATGGTCTGATCTCTAGATATCCGCCGCCACAGAGCTCTTTAAGAATTTTTGCGTCACTTTGAGCCGCACAAACTTTACGTTTCCCCGCGGCCGCGCGGGTCGGCGTTCCTCCTGGGGGTGGGCGGTGGCCGCGTGGGCGCGCTCACTGGGCAAGGGGGCTGCAGGGGGCGGTAAGTGGAAAGAGGGGCGGGGACCAGGCGCGGGGGAGATGACGGACACCCCCACCACGGTCACACACGCACGTACTCAGTCTGTAGGAGGGACAGTGCCCTAGAAAGAGAGGGAGCCCGGGGCGGTGAGAGGTTGGCCTCAGAGGTTGGCCGAGCAGAGCCAAGAACCCCAATTTTCCTGCTTTTTAACCTTTCCGGGGAGGAGGTCTCCCCCACAACTGACAAGTATGATAGTTCCTCCCCTACCAAATTGCTCCCAAAATTTCAACTATGTTTTTGCTCCATGTCACTTCCTCAAAGCGATCTGTCTTGACCACCGACAGCTCTCCCCATCGCCCCCATCCCCAATCCAGCCCTACTGTTCTTCCTAGGACTGAACAGCACCTGGCATTCCTTGAGCGTATCTGGCTCTCCTGCTGGGGTGTGAGCTAAGCCAGAGGGACCTTGTCTAATTCCTCACCATCCTTAGAGCCTCCTACAGTGCCCAGTAGTGCCCAGCCTAGAGCCTCACAGTAAATACTTGCAGAAAGAATGAATGAAGAATTCTTTCCCACTTTGTGAAACAGCCACAGTTCAAAGCAGTCACAGGACAGATAGATGGGTGCTGTTCTGCAAAAACTGTATGTCTGTGATGTTGGCTGAGTGGATGAGTTAACTACAGTATCTAATTAACCTAAGAGGTTCAACAGGGACCTATTGTTTTGAACCATGTAAATATAGTGCTTTGATAATTTTTTAAAAACCAACCACTTAAGTTTAAAAAGAAATTTAACTTTATGATATTATTTTTTCAGTATGTTTTTGTTTGTTTGTTTTACCTTTGAAAAGAACAGATATAGTGCTTGCTTTGGAATATCCTGAAGCTGAAGAGGACGAAGGCTGACCCACCTACCTGTCCCCAGAGGAGGCAGGGACCTGGCAAAGCAGAAGGCAGAAAGGAAATAACATGTTGGCAGCCCCCTTGTCCTTGGAGCACTGGAACTCAGAAAGCTGAGCTCGCACCCCGCTGAGCTGAGCAGGCGACCTGAGGGACTGGGTTAGAATAAGTCTGTACCCGGGTGTGGGCGGTGCCCCAATCTGGAAGGAATGAAATCAGTGTGAGGTTTTGGCGCCACCTAGAGGTCAGGGTGGCAATTGCAAGGAGAGTGGGGCGCCCTTTAGAAAGCAGTACCCAGGCTGCTGCTCTGGTGAGCTAGCTGGCGTCCAGGGCGGCAAAGCCAGGCTGGTGATTCCTGGGCAAGTATGGGAATTTCATCTCCTGGCTAAATCGGATGAATACTGTCCGCTACATCCCAGGTTCCTCTTAGTCTTCATAAACTAATGTGTAAGAGCTGTCTAAACAAAGGGCTATGTAAAAGTAAGAGGTGGTTCCGAGGAGGGGGCAGGACAGACCAAAGGGCCCTGGGAGGAGGACCAAAGGCTGCAGGAGGCAATGAGATGACTTCAGGCCTTGGCCAAGGCTCTTGTTTCCACCCAGCCCATTCTCCACTCTGGCTCAACGCGGCTTTTCTACACCATTCCACAGGCTCATGAACTATTGAACCCACCACTCCTGGCCTTCTTTCTAGACCCTAATACCTATTCCTACCCAGCCACCCTGGGCCCCTCTTGGAAGCGCTTTCTCCAGTGCAGGTGCCTGGAGAGAGGGAGCCCCACAGACCTGGATTACATCCCAGCCCTGACCCTGTACTGTCCATGTGGGTTTGTTCCCACACAAGGTAAACTCCTTAATCTCAGCCTCTATGGCCTTCAGGTCCCTCGTCAGTAAAACAGGAATCACAATAATGGCGGGTACCACCCAACTGGGGGGAGTGAAGGGGCTGACACGTGTGATAACACCAGCGCCCTCTTCTCCCAGGGAGACTTCCAATGTATCCTCTCTCTTGGACTGTCTGAGGGGTGCTGTCAGAAAAAGGCATTAAAATTACACAGACTGAACCTTCCCCTCATTCCTCATGGCTTCCCTTGCACAGTTCACACAAAATTGTCCCAGACGGTCCATCTTATCTCTACACACATGCTTTCTCTTCCTCTCATCCCTGTGGGCGCCATTCCACAGAGAACACTTAGCTTCCGCTGCCCCACTTTCACCTCAGCAAAACCAGCCTCTCTCCTCCCTGCAGCTACACCTTCCCTGTCCTGCTTCCCATTCTCAGCGCCACACCTGCCCTGTCATTCTCGGCACCCTGACTCTCTCCCTTGCCAACATCCTCAGTTCCCGTACCACACGCTCACTGCCTGCGGAGCTCCATTTGATGGCCCATTTTTACCTCCAAATCAGGGTGAGTGGACAGATGTCATCATCTATTGTCCAAAACAGGGCAGCCCTTCCCAGCTGTCCACCTCCGTTGTAGCTCCTTCAAGACCCGGGCACCTATTCCATGCCCAGCATGGAGGAAGACACAACCTTTGCCCTTAGGAGTTAGGAAGAGGGGCTGTGCAGAACATGGAAGGTGGTAGGGAGCCCTGAGTGGCAGAGGCATGAGGAAAGACGTGCTTTCAGAGAAGGACCCACTTGCACTGGAGGTACAGCGGGGCGTGGGGGTGGCTGGAGTCAGGTGGGTTTCTTAGAATGTGAGTGCAGGGGTGAGGCAGGGTGGCACAAGTGCAAACAGGGAAGAGATAGACTTCAGGAACCAGCAGGAGAACCTGTGAGGCTCGTCGACTAGTTGGTGTATGGGGAAAGTGATGGGGCTGTGCAAGATGACGTGAACCTGGGTGACTGGGCGAAGAGGCATGCCAGGAGATCATGGCTCATCAATAATGTCTCTTTGTCCCATGAGCTCTTGCCCAGAAATAGACGGGCCTCAGCCTGCTATGAGCCTGCAGAGTAAACACCGTCTTCAGCTTCCAGAGGTAAAGAACACATTTAAATAATTACCTCCTCTCCCTAGCCTGCTCTCCTTCACCACACACAAACATCGCCACCAAGAAGACCCACTTTCTGGGTGTCTCAAAGCCCAGCAACCATTCCCCCAGGAGCCAGGCCAGGACAAACCATGGAGGTCTGAGCCTCTCCCTCCGGAAGCCCTGGTGCCATGTGTCTGTCCTGCCTCTGCTCTGTTTACACAATAATGGAAGACGAGGCCCACCCCTTCTTGTGGGCTTTTCCTTAGCATTCCCAGTCCTCAGAGGGCATTCCTGCTCCATGCCTTCCAGGCACCACCACCCCTGCCCCTCACCCCAGGTTTTTCCTGGGAAGTGAAATAGTTTTGGTGACTGTGTTCATGTTCAACCATGGAAGAATGTAGCACTTCCAGGGCAGGATTGGCTGCCACTGTGAACTCTGGGTTTGTCCCCACAGAGGTCTAACACAGGAGGCCCCTGGGGCAGGCCCTCTCTGGTCCAGATGACACGAGGCAAAGAGAATGGGAGGGAAAGCCTCTTCCGGAGTGCCAGGAGGGTGATGGTGCTGAGCTGCAGGAGAGGAATGAAAGGCTGGGTCAGGTTCAGCCCTGGGGAAGACAGAAGACATTTGGAAGTAGATGAACTGTGTCTTTGGTCACCTTTTCCTGGCCTTGTCTCTCCCATTCCTTATGAACCTACCGCCTTTGTCAAATAAACCTCTTCCCCCAGATTTCATAGGTATGGTGAGTACCCTATGCTATATCTATAAACTTTGAAGCCAGGGTTTTTATTTTATACCTCCTTCGTATAGGATTTCCTCCCTGACTGTCAATACCCTTAGCTAGGGCCACGTCCTGGAGGGCAGCTGTTTTTACGTTACTGCCTTGGCAGAGAAATTGAAGCCAGGAGAAGCATAGAGTCCTAGGAAGACCCCCCCACAGCCCCGTGGACACACAGATGTGTTATAGTCCTTTGATAACTCCTACATGCGGCCTCCACCAGGCCCAGAGTTCCTAAGAGATGGGGGCCTACCTCTCTCCAGGTCTCAACACCTACCACCGTGTCAGCACACAGCAGGCCCCATAAACATATGAACTGGCAATGAATGACTAGGGAAATCCCTGGTACTCTTTTTATTTATTTTTTTTAGATTTTATTGGGGAATTGGGGAAGGGGAACAGCCAAGTTGTTGTCCTTCAATCTTAGTAGTAGCCTGTTACTCTTAACAGACTTCGTGCCATAAAAACCGGGGCCCTAGGGACCGGCAAGCACACCGTGGTACATCCAACAACGGGGTACTGCCCAGCTGTGGAAAAGAGCGAGGCGTTTTTATCTGGGCTGATTTGGGGAGGTTCACAAGATTTATTGCTAACTGAGAAAAAAGAAAGAAAACACGGAGCTGGTGTTACTCCGATTTGGAGAGAGAGAGGCAGGCTGACGTGTGTATTGAAATCTAAGTATATAGAAGAAACTAAGAATAGTAAGTGCCTTGGAAGGAAAGGATGTTAGAGGTGGAAGGGGACCCTGCTTTTTCACCAACCTTCTATACTACTTCAATATTTTCCATGGGTAGGTAATAATTTTAGAAAACGTTTTTCAGAAAAGCAACATTTTTTTTTAAAGTTATAAAAGTGAAAAAAAAAAAAGAAAACGAGAGAGAGGGGAAAGAAAGAACACAGGGAGACATTCTAGGGGGCCCCAAGCTCATCACAACACAAGGAAGAAACCTGAAGCAGTTCTCAGGGGCACAGCTCCGCTGTGTGCAGCACAGGCGTGTCCATTTCCAAAACGGGGACAAATGACTCAGCACCACTGTCTTTTTTTTTTTTTCTTTTACTCTTGGGAAGGAGGCAAGTAGTTTCGCTAATTTACTAGAAAGGATGCTGTGAGCCAAGAGGTGATGTCCAGGATCACCTCTCAGGATCCGATCAAGAGGGACAGGATTCTCTCTGGAACTCAGTCCTCTGCTTCGTCCCTGAAGTCACGCCTCTCTCCTGCGCTGCCATGGCCGGTTTTCTTTTGCCTGCACACGATTATACAACACTCATCCTCTCTTTGGCTCCTCTTCCCCTCCAGGAACTTTGAGGGAACTTGTGCCTCTGCCTGTAGGGA